CCCCCCCCCCCGCCCCTGGCCCTTCTGGTGCCTCTCCCTCCCCCCCCCCCTCCCAGCACCCCCACAGCCCTGCTGGTGCCCCTCACCCACCACCCACAGCCCCCTGCCCCCACAGCCCTGCCAAAAGGGCTGCCAGGGTTACAGGGCCAGGGACCAGGATCCACAGCCCCCTTCCCCCTGCAGCAGCTTCTAAGCTCCTTGCTGCTGCAAGCTCTGTGCTGCCCTGGCAACGTGTCCCCTGTCCACCCCGCAGCAGTGAGGGGCACAACCCTGAGCCACTGTCCCTGCTGCTGCCAGGTAGGCAAGGGACACCTCGCCAAGGCGGGGAAGAGGTTGCAGCAGCAAGGAGCTTCTCCGCCTGGCCCTGCTCTGCCCTGCTGCGCTAGGTCCCTCCTGCTGGACTGCTAAGGCCCCAGCAGGGTTTGTATTACACTTCCACTCTTAGTGGGGTCTGTGTCAGTGGCAGCTGGAACCTGGAAGGAGCTGCCACCATCACTCAAACTGCTTAGAAAGGCATGGGTGGGCCAGGGCCTCTCATTTCTTATGGGAAGGACTCTTGTCTCTTATGGCAGCCTTATGGGGTGCTCTCATTTCTTATGGCAGGGCTCAAGCCCCCCTGAGCCCCACTCATATTTCGAACCCTGCTCTCCAGGCTGCCTGGCAGCTATGTGCATATACATTCACGTGGCGCCTCCTGCCTGACGCCCTCCTCCTGCTCCCCCAGCCCCTTGCAGGCTGGAACTCTGCCAGCCTCCAGAGAGCTCTTTGCAGAAGTGCACAATCCATGTGTTTCTCCATTAAAATGAAAAATCCACGTTTTCCTCAGGTAAAAGGGGAAATCTGTGGGTTTTTTCCATTTTCCTATAAGAAATGGAAAACCCAGATCCCTGTTCATCACAACTCATTTGAAGTTGCTGTGCTTACGCCAATCGTGATCCAAGTAGAATTTGTACCTGCAAGCCCTCTAGATTGTTATATTGAAGTAATGTTGTTAGTGTCACTCTCAACTGAGCTACAATACTTTGTCTTTCCCTTCTTCAGGGCTTTCTGCAAGAGAACCACTGGAAAGTGCTGGAAAAGAGTCGGGAACAACAGTTCAAAATGCTTCAGCATGGCCTAGCATCCAGAGAAGCAGCTCAGAAAATGGCTGCATGTGAGGCAGCAAAAATCGGAGCGACTTCTTGTATATTGCGATCCTAAGTAAAAACCAATGATTTTGGAACAACCGCAGCCCTGGTGGTGATGGAAACCATTCCCACAGCATCTGCCAAGGGTCAGTTTTGCCCTTGTGGCACCTGAACATGCTCTGGAGTCAAATTCTGATGTGCACAAGCAAAACTGAAGCAGAATTTAGAATTTTTCTCAAGTAAAATTGTCATTTCAATCTATGCTGGAATGTTTTTCATTTTAGAACCAGCAGTTGTAAGAAATGGAATTACTTACGTTGAGATTTCTGTGACACGGGGATGAATAAATTGGTGAGACCACTGTAAATTTTGCGGGCATCTGAAACAGTTATAGACTGGGCCACTTGTTTGCCATGTTAGTTTCCTGAAATGAAGACTAAAAACAGGTAAAAGAAACTCATAGAATATTTATTTGCACTTCTAACATCCCACAGGGTGAGATCAGCCCTAGTTGTGACATATTTCTATACAACAGTGCCATCATCCCTACCAGCAGGACAAGCAAAGTCAACACTAGTTGTGGAGGGCAAGAATGAGAGAACTAAGTCTGAGTTCCTGTGTATTGTCAAATACAACATATTTTTAAGTATAGTCAGGCTTTCTATCTCACTTTCCATCTGTAAAAGGCGTGGGGAGTGTCAATGTTGACTTATGCTCTAGTTCAACCTGTTATGTGGAGCAATAGACCTACCACTCAAGCCTTTCAGAGGGATTATATGACATGGTGACCTGTGGTAGTGAGACTAGAGTCTGACCTCCTGAGGAGGTCCCTTCCAGTTCTGTGTTCCTAGAGGTGAATTCCCTCCATCTCAAAACAGTGGAAAAAGAAAATAATATTCCTTAACCTCCATAGAAAGTAGCCTCCAGATGCATTTAGATTGCTGTTAGTCTACCTGGAAAATAACATAGCTTCTATGCTGTCTCCAGAAAAGGTTCTTCATGTCATATGATTGAATCTAGGCACAATGCCAAGGTGGATATAAATCTGAATTTAAAACTGCATCGATAGGAAAATATAATGCATTTCTATCTTAAATTTGTACCAGTTATGAGGTGTTTTGTTACCGCACTTGCAGATATTTAAATTGAATTAGAATCTGTCTGACATTAAGTGGAGGCAGGTGCTCCTAACACTCACAGAGCAGTATCATTCTCTACCAAAGAAAAGCCAACAGAATTCTTTTGTTGCCATCTAGCTGTGAAAGTATTTTCTATGCTGTGCAACAGTCCTATACATTTTGTACATCACAAATGCAGCCTGTCCAAATTGCAGATGATTTGAAGAGGCCCCTGGACTCACAGGGGTTGCAGGGGTACAAAGAAATCAGTGTCACTCTAATGCTGCAATACAGGGGGCTGGAGAACAAGGGAAGGGAGTCGTTGCTAGAGTGGAAACAGAAAGTCTGGCACACACAACAATTGAACTGTTCCAGGAGCATCACTGATTGGGAACAAGTTCTCAATTGTCATGATTCAGTGCATCCTTACACTGCCAAGGCTTCCAAGAAGAACGGTTATTTTCAGGCATTGCCATGCTGCTGAACTGCCATGAGGGGGTTGGAGTGGGGCATTCCCTAACAGTAGCAAAGGCCTGGAGTTTCCCCAGGATTATATACTAGCAGGGGAGGAAGATGGCAAGTGGCTGGATGGGGTCTGCCTAGCCCCTGCTTCTGTGTTCCCAGGGAGCTCCCTGGGATTCAGGTTTCAGGTTTCCCTAGAAAGCCACGCCATACATTTTGGCATACCCTCTGCCCCCAGTATCCACTGGGAGGTTGGTGGATGGGCAGGTGGGTAAATGTGCCTTTAATGATGAACGCCCAACAACTGTGGGATGTGGGAAAACTGCTAGAGCACAATGACACTTAGTGCCACAGAATGGCTGTCAGTTCCTGTCAGGGGCTCTAAGCAGGTGGCCTAGCCCTGACTAATTGCTCATCTGGCCAAACCTGGCAGAGATACGTTGGTCTGCTGCAGTAAGCCTCCCTGGGTCCTGAGCTCTCAGCGCTCTGATTTCTGACCTTGCTTGGCTCTGCTTTTGGAAATGCTACTTGGCTTTGGTAACTCAGTCTCTGATGCCAGAACCCTGATCTGGCCTGCAGCCCTGGATTTCCCCCTTGGATTTGGTAACTTGGTCTCTGATTCTAGGACCCTGACTCAGTCTCTAACTTGGACTCTGCTCCTAGGATTCCCCCTCGGTTTGGGTACCTTGGACTCTAGCTCCTGTCTCTGGCCCTCTCCTCGTGGCTTGCCTACTAGGCAAGATTGTCTACACCCCAGTCCTTACAACTGTATGCTTACAATGGCCAACAACTGGGACTCTGATGTGTTATAGCAGGGGTGGGCAAAATGCAGCCTGCAAGCGAGATGTGGCCCGACAGGCCATTCTATCCGGCCCATGGGGCCCCTAAAAAATTTAGAAAATCAATACTTATCTGCCCCTGGCTGCCTGTCATGCGGCCCTCAATGGCTTGCCAAAACTCAGTAAGCAGCCCTCTTACCAAAATAATTACCCACCCCTGTGTTATAGGGTACAGACAGAAGTGATAATTTTCACCTGATCTGGCCACAGAAAGTAGTTTATAGCCATGACCAAACACACGTACATGGTTGCGAACTGCTCCAAAAATATCTGGTGGGGAAAAAATCGGAATCCTCATTGCATGAGGGGTCAGAGGAAGACATTTCAAAACACAAAGTCTTCTGTAACTTGTATCTGTGCTGCCTCCCAGGCTGTCCCTGTTTTCAGAATGGGAGGGGGGAAAGGGAGTGGAGGGAGTTCGGTCTGGGGGGTTTCAGCCCCCACTGGAGGGGGGTGAATTGGAGTCCCCCCAAAGTGCTGCCTGGAGAACCCCTAAAACAAGATCCCTCTGCTCCTTTCCCCCCTCCCCTTCTGAAAACAGGGCAGGCTCCCAGGGAGGAGGGGCTGTTGCTAGGGGAAAGTGGCTGCAGGCAGGCAGCCAATAAGTAGATTCCCCTCCCCCTGGAGCCAAGAGTGAGCTTCTGTTTGGTTGCGGGGCTTGGGGGTTGCTGTAACTCAGGACCTTCCTGCAAAGCCCCAGTTACAGCGGGGAGCTGCATTTCTGTCAGCACCCATAGCATTGAATACACTTCTTCAACATTCAGCTGTACCTAGCACTTGGAGACTTATGGAAAGAGAGTCAGACAAATAGAGAGCCATTGTGCTACAGCCTACTTTCTCCAAAAAGCTAGATGCAGTCTTCAAGGCCCTTAATGAGTTGGGTCCAAGCTGTCTCAGGGACTACTTTTCCTTTCATGTCTACTCTCAGGGCAGTGCAGATGATGATGACATGGTGGTTGGTGTCCTCAGGCCAAAACTCAAAAGGCCTACTGGAGAGAGGCCCCTCGTGGCTCACCTACTAGGCAAGGTTCTCAGTAGGGGATGGGGGGGGGCATGGCGCTTACTGCTACACGCCCCGCAAGCGACTGCAGGCTGAGGGGCTGCACCGGGCTCTTACCAGGGGGCACAGGCCCCCGGATCTGCGCATGGGACAACAGCAAGCTGCTGCTGCAGGCTAGGGCTGGTGGCACCACCAGGCAGCTGGCGGGTAGGTTGGGGGGCTATGGCAAACTTTGGGGTGGCAGCAGCCCCCCTCCCAGCACCACCACCACTGCCCACCTGGAGCACCAGGAAGAGACAGATGCTGCCGCTGGCCCCAGCCTTGCTTGCAGAAATGAGGTGGCTTTCACACATTGCAGCATATAATGACAATATATCTCACACAAGTACATTGCACTGAAATTAGAAGTGGGAAAAGTGGATTAATTTATTCTACACATTTTGTTTCTTTCTGCCTTCATACTGTCTGTAAATAGACTGTGATTTTCTAAAAGCCACACTATTAATTGTTCAAAATTACTCACCATATAATTTCTGTGAACAATTCTTGATTTCTAGAGTGTTCACAAGGAGCTCATTACAAGTATTTAACAGAGCTGTGGAAAATAGCACCATCCTGTTTCGACTTGTGTTTTGATGGAACAGCATTTCATTCTGAATTTCATTTTGATTTGAAACTGCTGTTTCAACGCCGTTTCGACATTTCACCCATAAGCTATAACAGGGAAGCTTGGAACAGCCTATGACTTTGTCATTTCTGGCCTGATTTGGATTAAACTTGCAGGAATGGTAGCCCCTTCTGAGGGCATGAAGCCTGCCACGTTTCATGGAGATAGGTGCAGGGGTTTGGCAGAAACTGCACCTCACGCTGCAGACAAGGAAAACTCAGGGCATAGGTGACACTGTGTGTGTGTTAAGGCACAACAGGGTGAAAGCTGCAGGCATGCTAGCCCCTGCTGAGGCCATGAAGCCTGCCAGCTGTCAAGGAGATCGGTGCAGGGGGAGTCTGGGGTCTAGGGCCCTGCAGCTCTGGCTGCTGACAGGCAAAACTGGAACACACAGCTCAGCAACTGACACCAAGGCAGAAAGCAGGGCAAGGCAAACCATGCTGCCTTTTATACAGCTTTGCCATCCCGCCCCCAGAGCACTGGGATTGGAAGAGACCTCAGGGAAGGGTGACAGTCACTGGCCAGCTACACTGTCTATAATGATAGCAGTCCTTCCCTCCTCCTCCTCCTTACTTTAGTTTCTGTTTCCCTGTAGGCAAGCCCTGCTTGACCTTCAAAACTCAAAACGTTTCAAAATTTTTTAAACATTTTGACTTGCCTCATTTAATTTCAAGGCTGTTTTGAAGCTCTCAGTTTCATTTCGGTTTTGCTGTTTCAAGCTCGAAATGAGTCGAAACGAAACTGCTGGCGAAATTTTGCACAGTCCTAGTATTTAATATTAGAATTTGAGCTGTTGTGGTTGAACAAAAAGGGAACTTGGTCAGCACAACCCCAGACTACCTCTTCTCAACCTCACTACCCAACACATTTCACTTTAGGGAACTAGCAATCTTTTCATAACAGTCATCTGCATTTGAAGTAGCTTCTTGAGCAACAAGAGTAACCAAGCTGAAAGGAGCATGAGAAGCACAATGTTCTCCTTCCAAAACTTCATTCAGTTCCCACAAAAACTTTTCATGAAAGCCCTGACAGCCATCAGAGCCACTACTTTTTTTCACCTCTGTTCTTGTGAATAGAAAACACCTGGACACCTCCTAGCAACACGTACTAATTAATACCTTTGATGTCCTAAAACAGGATCAGCCACCTTCTATGAATAGCAGGCTGGTGCTTGCAACCTGACTGCTACAGTGGGCCACCAATCCCTACTACAGTGCCCCAGATATGTGCTGCTGCCTTCTTTATTTACATGACCAAGTGCTACAGATTTCTATCCCAAATGGCAATGGGGAGGGGCAAATTTAGTGGTGAAAGTAAGTGTTGGCTTCTGTACACAGTAACGGAGGAAATGATCAGCACAGCAAATGGCAGAGAAGGAGAATACACTGGGACAAACTGCTTGCCACCAATTCCCTATGCAACTGTGGACCAGATCCATTTTTTTTTTTCAGGCTGAATCTGGCTAAGTTGTTGACCCCTGCCCTAAAACATGCTGCTACACAGTAGATAAATGGTGTTGAGATCTGCTCTGCCCAGATTCTCATCAAGCTCAAGATGTCTCAGGTTGGGTCACCACAAATCAAAGGCACCCAAATTTACCTGGTACTTGAGAATTATGGCCTAAGTAAACTGTTATGCCCATTTGCAGAGCTGGAGCAAGAAAGCTGATGCTAAATTTCCAAACCATGTGGCACCAATCCCTTGCTTGGGCTAGACTAGAGCACACCCATAGCCCATTGGAGTAGGTCCCATATCTTATCTGTGGGCCTACCATAAAAGGATGTCTCAAACACACGGAGAGAGAAAACAGGATAGTAAATGGAGTTTCTGTGCCAGTGTATGAAGAAATGTGGAGAGGCACCCTGCCAATAATCTGCTGGAGGCTAGTTCCCTGCTGAAACTGATGACCAGGTAATGAGGGTTAAGCGCTCCAATAGCAGGGTGCAAAGGGGAAGAAAAGAAGAGGTTGTGGTATTGAAGGAGAAGTAAAGTGAGGATTGCTAAAATTCAGGGTCTGAGAGAAAATGGCAGGTTTTGGTTTTTGTTTGTTTTTTGCATGCTTGTTTGGTTGTTCACTTTGGAAACAAGGTTACCCCACATAAAACAAACTGGCTAGAAACCTTGAAGTCAGAGCTGACTCCTCTATGTCAGGAAGTGGGGGAGTGACCTGCTTACTAACCTGTTTCTGTATCACTAGAAAAGCTCCACCTGAAGACTAAATACACTATTGGTACATCATCAAAGCTTTTGGGTTGAGGGTTTCAAAATAGGTTAGGGTATTTGGCCATGTATCCATTCGTCATTCTTGGCCTTGACCTTTACCTGACTTCCTTAATAACAGGTTGTTCTGTCATTTTTTCTTTTCTTTGTTTTTGAATTATGTACAGCTTTATCTCATTTTCCAACAATATGAATGTATTTACCCATCTTTGGTAGGTCCCTCTGAAGTGAATCAGCCTTTGCCATTCTTGGGAAGTTAGTGGCTTTGTTGGAGAGGAAGGCAAAAGCTGTTGTGTGGTACGCCCGGATGGAGTACTACCAGGACTCTTTTGTCATCCTGGTGGGACTAGATGAGTCTGACACCCTTGATTTAGACTATAAAATTTCCAGGCCAGGGATTGTCCCTTATTGTGCCCCTTCATGCACAGTTAGCTAATTGATGCTCATCTCTTTTAAGAGAAGTACTGAAGCTGCTGCTGCTGCTACTTGTGATTTCTGTCTCTTTTACAGATAAATGCGTAAACCAGGGTAGAGTAAAACTGGTTTGTGTAGCAGTTCACAACTGAACTGTAACAGGAGGAAACAGACATGCAGTTAATATCTATCCATGCCAGCTTTGCACATGCATAGGTGGTGGTATTCCAGTGTTTCCTGCAACTCTGCTTCCCTGATACATCATGGGGTAAAAATAGTGTGACCATACGTCCTGGATTGGCCAGGACAATCCAAGATTTCAGAGGCTGGTTAAAAATTAAAATGAGCATCTGGCCATGGGGTGGAGAGGTAGAGTGCCTATGAAGTAGGAAGCCCTATTAGCACTAATTGTTACTTCACAGGTGACTGTTAACACCCACCAAGTAAAGAATACTGGTCATTAACTCCCTGCAGGGGGAGAAATGGGCTGGCAGGCAGGCAACATCCTGGATTTCTCATTGTCCCATACCTCAAGTAGAAAGCCGTGTGCCTTCTTGAACATTGGGCCCAAAGTGCTCAGAAGTCTCAGACTGGACGACTAGACCAGGAGTACCAGTGCCACTTCAGTATGTGGTGGACACCCCCTGCCACTACTTCCTGGTGATGTATGCAGTGCTGAGTCCACAACTGCATCATGATTACTCAGCTGGGCAATGTGATAAGCCATGGCAAGGTGTGTGATGGAGTCATGTGGCTTACTCTCAGCAACTGACTGTGATCTGCCAGAAGAGGAAGATATCCTAGATACGACTGAGGACACTGGTGGAAAAGGAACCCAATAACTGACGTCTTCACTGTCCTCTCACAATTCTCATTCAGCAGCTCCATCATTTCCCTCACGATAGTTACAGTTCCTCTCTTATTAGTGTTCTTCTTGGTCTGGACAATGTCTTGGTTCACCAGGTCCACAAAGCAGCCCTGGTGGTACTCCACCCTGGAGCACCAGACATCAACAGCTCTTGCCTTCCTTTCAGACAAGGCCACTGACTTCCCAAGCACTTTTTGATCCTCTTTCCTAAGAGTGGGGAAATGTCACTAATGTCATTGAAAATATTTTTAGGGATGTCAGTTTCTACATTCTTCCTGAATGGCAGGGTCCAGGAAGCATCTATCATTGTGGAAACACTGTTTTGGTAGTTCTCAAATTTTTTTTTCACAATTACTAATTTGTGGGAAATTCTGAAAATGTTTGGTTTCAGTTGCACCTCAGAAAGACAAGCTATCCCCTGAACTGGGAACCCTGTTTTCAGTCATACTCCCCATCGAAAAGAACTGGGAAGCAGTTGGTAACTATTTCACTGAGACACTGAGGAAAGCAATACCTGCCGATAGTTCAGTAGATAACAATCCTCCTGAGTTTCAAAGAAACTCTATTAAGCCACACATCGTCCAGCACTATACCAAATAACACCAAGGCAATGTTCAACAGAAACGGTGTTTGCTATGAGCTAATTTTGGATAATACACTTCTGAGGAATTTTGAAGATTTGTAGAGAACAAGGGTTTCACATACATGCCCAGCAGTATTATGAACTAAATGAAAAATATGTACATATAGCCAAGCAGGGACTAACCAAAACAAATAAAGCAGCTCAGGACCCTTATCTTTACTTTAACAGAG